AAATGTTTCCGTTTCTTTTTTTTTCATTAAAGCTCGTGTCCGCGTTTCCCAACGTTTCTCTTCCGCGTACCCGTTTCTGATTCCATGCAGCTTAGGGACAAAGACAGAGACGGTGCTAATGGATGGAGACGGCGGTAGTTAAAAACAAATATGGAGACGGTGGACAAAGATGACAACATTATGGACAAAAATATATACCATAGAGTGATAAATAAGAGTATAAATGGTTTTTTTTAATTTAGTAAACAGTTTGTGGTAGTTTTCAATTTTTGTTTTTCAATTTATGGTATATTTTGAACATTTTTTTGGAAAAATATTATTTTTCACAAAAATTTCGAATATTAATACAAAAATTTTAGAATCGAGACACATAATTTTTAAATGAAATATCAAATTTCACATTTTAAAGATTGAAAATCCTAGAAACTTTCAAATCTATTATTGAAACACCATCTAAATTTTATTTTAACGTAACACATATACCTACCAAATTTGAGGTCTTAAAAACTTACTAAGAAATAAAATGAGATCATAACACCATCTAAATATTTTTCTAAATTCAAATCATAATGGGAAAATGGCAGAAAAAACCTCCAAAGTTGCGACCACTAGCACTTTAAACCTCCAGAGTTTAGCACTGACACTTTAAACCTCTAAGCTAACAATATTGACACATTAAACCACCAAAATATAGATTTTGGTCGCGCCGATGTCTTACGGGACGAAATAGTTAACTCCGTTAACGGCATACTTAACTCTATTTTATTAAAAAAAACGTGTGTCTTTTTGCAATTTAAAATAATTAAAAACGTTCCACCTTTTGTAAATAAAAACCCTAAATGCTAGGGTTTTTGCGATTTGGGGAAAAAATTCAGAAAAAAAAATCAAATCTCAGAGCAACGAAGGAGAAGGATATGTTTGAAGAACGGGTAAATTTTCTAATCTGTAGAGGTTTGGGTTCTGATTTCTATGATGTCTGCTTGTATAAATTTACGAATCAAGAAATTTTGGAATCAAATTTGAGGGTGAATGTGTTGGTTGATGAATGTATGTGTGTGCGAAATTAGTAATTTATTTGATGTGTATAGGTGTGTTTTTGCAAATGGCTCAAAGTTCAAGTTCGCCAACCTTCGAATACAAAAATGACAACAATGGTGTTGTATGTCTTTGCAAGTGTCCATCAAA